AACAATCGGGAACCGGGCCCGGCGTCCCTTATATTTCAGTGCCAGGAATCGGACCTGGCATCCCTTACAAAAAGTTCCACGGTCCTGATTTAGGACGAGACATCACCGGTCAAGCCCAAAAACTGGATCGCTACACACCACAAACCCTAGGCAAAAAGTAAACATCGTAATCCCAACCCATAACTGCCATCACTCCATCTAAGAGTTCTGATCTAAAACAAAATTTAACAAATTTCTAATCTAAAACAGAATTTGAACAAATCCTAAACAACATTATCCCCTGTCGCCTAATGCAGCAAAAAAAAAAGAAAAAAAAAAGAAGAAGTCCAAACCAAATAAAACACCATATATCCTACACATGCCCTCATTTTGAACACATCCATCTTCTCAATGATGTGGTACGTTGCAGCATTCTGGAATCCCGATCACAAGGCCATGAAAGACCTTAAAAGGAAGGCCGCAGCCTACCTATGGACAGGAGATGCATCCAGATAGCAGTTCATAACTAAGGTCGCGTGGCAGTACGTCACGAGGAAGAAAAACGAAGGAGGACGAGGGGTTCTGGATCCAGTAACACAAATGAAGGCCCTTCAAACGAAATGGATACTAAAATTGATAACATCACCCAGTCTCCCATGGAGACCACTAGCCCTCGAGGGAATCCATCACTTGCCGATCTACAACACGCCATCAAACATGGAAGGTTCCTTTTGGTTAATGAGTAAATCTTGGTCAATGAGAGCCAGATCAACGATCACACCAAATTCCAAAGGGGAAGCAAGACTAAACTTCTGGAGGAATATCATCAAATCTTGGAGAGAAATCTTCCCAGCCAAGGTAAGAAAACCGCAAAGTAAAGAAGAAATCCTCAGACAGCCTTTATTCTGCAACCCTTGGATAGTTGAAGAAGATGACAAGCCCTTTACCTTAACCACAAAGGACACAAGATGGGGAGCCTGGTTAGAAAAAGGAATCTGGCAAGTGAAACATCCATGGGGTGACAGTAGGAAAGACTGGAAAGACGTCAAGCAACTTAGATCCTCACTCAAGGGGTGCCACCGATTAGCAAACAACCTTCACCAGATAACGTCCAAGATCCCGACGCAATGGATCCCAATCCTTAAAAACAATACGCAGTGGACCGTAGGTGACTGGGCAGAAACCATCTACCCAAATACTTTAGAACACGCATTATCTTACAAGGAAAGGAGAGAGGCTAAAGACAATTGGATTACGTTTACTATGCATACAATAGAAGAACCTTACAAAAATTATAGCAAGGTTAGCAAAAACAGTGTGGGTCAGGTCTCAGTAAGAGAGGACAACCTAAGAAAAGTTAGAATGGTAGAGGACGACGAGCTAACCCTATACAACCCCCAAATAGCCCTTGAGAATCTAGAGATAGACCCTGCAGAATGGACTTGGAATCAAAAACAAAGATCTACCGGAATTAATCAGAAATACAACATCCTAAGATACACTACAAGCAAGGGATATAATCTAAGAAGACGGTCAGCAAATCCAGACCCTGTCATAACTGAGAGATGGTGGAAACACCTACAAGTAGACTCAGAAATTCTGAATCAAATCCCATGGAGCCAAGTAACCATAATCCACCCCCCGAAATTCAGAAGTCTTCAATGGCTTATTCTCTACCTCGCAGTCCCTCTAAATCAATGGTTAAATGTGAGAACAAGAAAAGAAGATAGAAGCGCACTTAGGGAACTCTGCTCCACTTGTAAAGAAGGTCAGACAGAAGACCTTTTTTTTTCTTTTTTTTTTCTTTTTTTTTT